CGGCTGCCCCAAGCGCCGGGTCAAGTGCGAGTTCTGCGCCAGTGACTTCTCCGGGGAGGCCTTCGAGGTGGGCAGTGGGAACAGGGGGACATCATGCCAGGAGGCATGGCCATGGTGGGGACACTGGGGAGGATGCAGGTGGCAGAGGTGTCATGGGGGGGCATGGCCTGGCTGGGGGTGTAGCCAGGTTGGGGGGTGCAATGTGGGGACCTAGATGGGCTGCAGGGCACTATGGGGGACACTGCTTGGCCATGGGGACAGAGCCTGGATGGGAGACACTATGGGGGACACAACCTGGGTGTGGGGACAGAGCCTGGGTGGGGGACATCATGGGAGACACAGCCTGGGCATGGGGACAATGCATGACACTGGGAAGGGGCACAGCCTGGGCATGGGGACAGTGCATGACACTGGAGGGTGCACAACCTGACCATGGGGACAGCCTGGCAGGACACCTTGGGGAGCACAGCCTGGCCATGGGGGCCACCACATGGCCCCATCCCTGGCAGGGCTGGGCGCAGGGCTGGGCGGTGTGGGCAGCTGGAGGGTGACAATGCTGCCGTGGTCCCCAGGGCCACCAGGGCACATGTCCCCAGGAGAGTGTGTACTGTGAGAACAAGTGCGGGGCCCGCATGATGCGGCGCCTGCTGTCCCAGCACGCCCTGGCCGAGTGCCCCAAGCGCACCCAGCCCTGCACCTACTGCGCCAAGGAGTTCGTCTTCGACACCATCCAGGTGAGATGTGGCCCACGGGGACTCTTGCCCCCCCACCAGCTCCCAGCTGCAGCTGACAGACACTCTCTGTCCCCAGAACCACCAGTACCAGTGTCCCCGGTACCCCGTGCCCTGTCCCAACCAGTGCGGGACGCCCAGCATCGCGCGGGAGGACGTGCCCACCCACCTCAAGGAGAGCTGCAACACCGCCATGCTGCTCTGCCCCTTCAAGGAAGCTGGCTGCAAGCACCGGGTGAGGCTGTCCCCAGCCCTGTGCTGGTGTCCCTGTGCCCATCCCGCCCTGGCATCCTTGTGCTGACCCCACCATGGTGTGCCTGTGCCCCACAGCATCCCCACACCTCTCCTGCCCTGACATCTGTCCCATCCCCTCTGGTGTCCATGTTCTGCTCTGTCCCATCCCTATAGCTCTGTGGTGTCCCCATCCTTGTTCTGCCTCACCCCAGTGTCACTTTGTCTCTCTGGTGTCCCTGTGCCTTCCCAACTAGATGTCCCTGTGTCCCCCCAGCATCCTGTTCCAATACCCCCACACCCAAACGACATCCCCATGGCATCCTCCTCCTGTCCTGTCCCACCCCATGCTGTCCCATGTCCCCAGCACCCCTCCTGACGGTCCTGCTGTCCCCACAGTGCCCCAAGCTGGCCATGGGCCGGCACCTGGAGGAGAGCACCAAGATGCACCTGGGCATGGTGTGCGCCCTGGTGAGCCGGCAGCGGCAGGAGATCCTGGAGCTGCGGCGGGACGTGGAGGAGCTGTCGGTGAGCAGCGACGGGACCCTCATCTGGAAAATCGCCGACTACGCCCGCAAGCTGCAGGAGGCCAAAGCCCGCAGCAACTACGAGTTCTTCAGCCCCCCTTTCTACACCCACAAGTACGGCTACAAGCTCCAGGTCTCAGCTTTCCTCAACGGCAACGGCAGCGGGGAGAGCAGCCACCTCTCCGTCTACATCCGCGTGCTGCCGGGCGAGTACGACAACCTGCTGGAGTGGCCTTTCTCCTACCGCGTCACCTTCTCCTTGCTGGACCAGAGCGACCCCTCGCTCTCCAAGCCCCAGCACATCACCGAGACCTTCCACCC